CCAATGATTTCCACATTCTGTTGGGTCACCTCTCTTTGGAATGGGCATAAATATTGATCTCTTCCAATCAGTCGACCAGATGGTTGTCTTCATCACATTCATAGAGCAACATAAACAGTATATATTTTTCAATAGTAAAAAACACTATACAAATACTGACATGGAGACATCAGAGTGTGTGTGTGTGTGTGTGTGTGTGTGTGTTAGGTGTGCTGTTGAGCCTATTTCAACTCACAGTGACCCCATGTGCCATAGTAACACCACCTCATAGGGTTTCCTAGGCTGCAATCTTTATGGAAAAAAGATTGCTAGGTCTTTATCCCACAGAGTCACTGGGTGGGCTTGAACCACCAACATTATGATTAGTAGCTGAACACTTAACCTTTTGCACTACCAAGCCTCCTTGAAAAGGCAGCTAAGACAGAAAAATAAGTATATATGATGTGGAGCAAATCACATACACATACATAAACATGTTGTTGTTATGTGCCATGGAGTCAGTTCTGACTCATAGCAACCCTGTCCAGAGTTTCCTAGGTTGTAAATCTTTACGGGAGCAGAAAGCCTCACCTGTCTCCTGCAGAACAGCTGGTAGTTTCGAACAGCTGACCTTAAGGTTCACAGCCAGATTCATAACCACTACACTACCAGAGCATATACTAGCACTGCCATTTGTAGAAATTAGAAATGATGGGAATTTTCTTTGTATATTGGACATTTATACATAGTTTACATTTTACAAAAGCTTCTATTACTTTGCTCCTGGTTTTGTGTACTGTCAAGTTGATTACAACAGAGTAGAACAGCCCTACAGAGTTTCCAACACTATAATCTGAATGGAGGAGCTCTGGTGGTACTGTTTAAGCACTCATCTGCTAACCAAAAAAGTGGGCGGTCCATGGCAACCACGGGTGGTTTGAACCCACCAGCAGCTCAGTGGAAGCAAGATGCAGCAGTCTCCTTCCACAACCCTATGGGGCCGTTCTACTTTGCCCTATGGGGTTGCTATGAGTTGGAATTGACTCTATGGCAATGGGTTCTTATGGAAGCTGACTGCCACATCTTTTTCCCACTGAGCAGCTGGTGGGTTCAAACCACTGACCTTTTAGTTAGCATCCAATCACTTAACCACTGTGGCACCAGGGCTCCTTATTTTCAGTAAAATGATTAAAATATATATATAGCATATTCCCCCAAAGCCTGGAGATTGTTATCCCATTTATCTAGAAATAAATGGTTCAACTGATAGAGGTTAGAGAGATGTTTATCAGTCAACTATAGTTATCATTGGCTAATGGCATTTCTAGTTTACTTTGACATTTTCCTTAAATTTTCATGATATTTAAATATTCTACAAGTATTTTTATAATACAAGTACTTTCATTATGAGAAGAAAATGAGGACAATATATAAAAGATTAGATCCTACAACTTTTCAAGAGACTAATGAAACTTCCATAAAAATCGCAAAAGGATGATAATCTCAGTAATGTTGTGGCCCATTAAAGCTCTTTCAAAAGTATTTTAAAAACTGCAATAATTTTTCACAGACTTCTATATGCAAATTATTGTTGTTGTTATTAAGTGCTACTGTTGAGTCGGTTCTGACTCATAGCGATCCTGTATAGGGTTTTGGAGGTGCAGCTGATGAGTTCAAGCCACCAACCTTGTGGTCCAGTGCATTATCCTGCAACGCAACACCAGAATATATATATATATATATATATATATACATACATACATATAAAATACCTTATTAAAGTTGTCTCTATATATATATATATATATACACATACATACATATAAAATACCTTATTAAAGTTGTCTCTATATATTTAATCACAGTGTGGCGGTGGTGGTGGTTGTGTACTGTAGAGTTAGCTCCTACTGTGTGAGGTTTCTGAGGCTGTAAATCTTTTGAGCAGAAAGCCTCATCTTTCTCCTGTGGAACAGCTAGTAGATTCAAATTACTACTTTGTGGTTAATAGTCTGACTCATAACTCATTACACTACCAAAGGTCCTTATTTAGTCATATGTTGTTGTTGTTATAAAGTACCATTGAATCAGTTTCACCTCATAGCAACCCTGTATAGGGTCTTCAAGGAGCAGCTGGTAAGTTTGATCCTCCAACCTTATGGTTCAAACCAACCTTACAGTCCAGTGCTTATCCTACAGCAGCACCACACCAGTACTCACTATATTCATCTTGTAGTTGTGAAGTGCCATTGAATTAGTTCCAACCCTTAGTGACCCTTTATAGGGTTCTAAAGAGTGGATGGTGAACCACCAACCTTGAGGTTTAGACCAACTTTGAAGACCAGCACATTAACCCACAGTGCCATACCAGGAGATCAGTTAATAAAAATAGCTATATATTCATATAGTGCCTTTAAGAAAAATTGAAAGGAGCTAAAACTTTTCAAAACATGAATACTTTGTTTTCACAAGAGAACAAGGGAGAAAAAGGGGAAAAAAGAAATGGAACAAGGGAGGGACTGTGAGTGAGAGAAAGGAAGAAGAAAGTGAGGGAGAGTTAGGAGGACTTAGGCAGCCAGGAAGGAATTGTGAATAGGGTAGAGATAAGGAGAGAGGTCAAGGTAGTGAAAGGACTATGGTGTCT